ATTTATCTGAGAAGTGATAAAGATTTTGCTCTTAATTCATTTATATGCAAGATGAAATAATCTAAATAATTTTTTATATATTTTTGTTATTATGAGACTATTCATAAAAATTTATAACAAAATTACGTAGATCGTAAAAGGGATATTAAAACAATACTTACAATTTTATTTTAAGTTTTTTTTATTAAAAATAAAAGTTTTCGAATGTTTTGTCTGGTAAGTGGTTTTGACGGGATACACCCATTTGCTGTGTTAAAAAGGCGTTTTACTGCCGCCGACGATATTAGGGATGCATTATATTTAAGAAAAATATTTAATATAATATTTGGAAAATTCCTAAAAGATTGAAGATCATTAAAATTTTTACTTTTAAATGTAGGGAATTCTGGCGAGGTGAAGATCATTAAAATTTTTACTTTTAAATGTAGGGAATTCTGGCGAGGTGTAAGTGAGCGCGGCATTAAATTCTCTCTCTCTTTCTCTCTCTCTCTTCATCCACAAATAAGTGATTGAAATACATAGATTTGGATGTTGTTAGAAGATTCCTTGTAAGCAGAATCGCTTCTTCGCTGCATTCTTCTATAACGTGGCATCTGAAACCGAATTGATCTACACCACTCTACAAGTAAAGATTTCCATGCGAGTGTACATATAATCCTTAAACAATATTATGATTAGTTTTGTTTTGTTTTGAATTTACTGGGTTATAGCATATTCATATGTATATGTGTACACTTATTAAAATTGATTTCTTGGTACTTAGGCCGCTAAAACAAACATTTGCATAACATCATCTTTGATAAGTTTTAGATAAGATGACACATTTTTATCTAAGATGGAGATGAATATATCATATTTGGTATTTTTTTATTCAGATAAAAAAATATAAAGATGATTGCATTTCTTTATTTAGGTGCTTAACCTAGATAATTTTATCCAGATGTCAGCAAACACTGCCAGTTGGAGATAAAAAGTTAAATTTAGAATAAATTGCACATCCAGTATTTACAAAATCAGACGCATTAAACTATCGAAACCCAAATATCTTCTAAACTATATTTTATCGAATACTAAGAGTACTCGTTTTTGTAGGTAATTAATAAAAATCCGCAAAAGAGAGAAAATTTAATTCCGTTATTGGTGTATAAGTTCGAGGTAATAATGAACTAGTAATAATTACTAGTTAAACCACATTTCTAAGTCATCAACTTCTTATAAAACGGTGACTATAGACAAGAAAGATATGAAGTAAGAGATAGATAATGCTTGAGATAAATCATGCTTATTTGCTGATTCCAGTTTGAAAAAGAAACTGTTCGTTTAGAAACTTTTAAGAAAAAACATTTTATCGATTTATTAGGATTATAATTTATATAGTATTTATAATTATTATTAGGATTAATTATTATTAGGATTTATAATTTATATAATATTAGGATAACATTTTATCGATTTATTAGGATTATAATTTTTAACATCCTACCTCTCTGAAATGAAAACTTTGAGATATGTTTATATGAATTTTTCTTTATAACAAAAGACAAATTAACTTACAAAATATTTTTATAAGATAACAAAAGATAAATCAATTCAGAAAATATTGAACGGTATTTTAAGAAACACGTAAGTAAACGAATAGCAGAGAATCGGCAAAACAGGACGAAGATACACAAGTCAAATATATTTATGCATGAGTACTATACATTAATCGCCGAAAGAAAAGCGATTGACGGATAATCTGCTCTTTAATCCTTTCCATTAGTCCTCCGATCCTTTCAAACCCAAGATATTTCGCAAATTTATTTTTTCAAGATCTTCCAGTCACAATCAGTTTTGCAATACACCTGTTATACAAAAATTCTATTTTAATCTTTCCGTAATACACATCACATATTTGCATAGAATGGTCTAATGTTCCAGATTTATTTAACTATACATTATTCACTATACTATACATTATTTATTATTGTTTATTATGAAAGTACTAGGAAACTAAGTTACATTATAAAGAAATTTATAAATATTGATATTAATATCTATTGATAAAAATGAATAACATATCGCGATTACTTTGCAACTTTTGATAATATATCACACTGTGAATTAATACATACTTGATAGCAATTACAATATTTTCAGATATTACTAATTGATGTTTCGTAATTTATTAATGTATATATTATTTACATTACATTATATTATATTAAATATATTAACTTATTAGCATACATTAATTTATTAATGTATCAAATCACTTAACATTGTATCCGCAAACAACGATAGTATTACGTTATAACCGTGGACGATCTATTTTATGTCGTAGAAGACATTAAAGTTAATACTAATTGGCCTTGAAAAAAGCGCAAAGACGAAACTCAAAGTCATTGTTGATTTTTCTTCGCCAAGTTGATTAGCTCCTCGTTGTTGTCTATTTTGCACTATGAGCAGCTGTCTCCGAGTTTTAATAATTTGAATGTTAAGGATGTTAGAACTGTATGTGCAATTTTATTCGTATACACGGAAAAGCTTGAAATCCATTCGTCCTCGAAAATGTCACATCGCCTAGAACTGATACTCTTTAAAATATAATCATTTTTTCTTTACTGAAATGTTACATTTGTAATTGATGGTTCAGTTATATAGCGTCGCGATATAGAATTTTGTGTTCTAATATTACATTCAGAAATATTGTTAAAATATCTAGAATATTATTTGCTTTACCGATTCTTTAGATTTATGAGACTGTTAGGGATTGTCCACACAATTGTAAGCAAGTGACTGCAATTACATTTTAAACTCGTAGCACTAGTCTGTGAATCGATTTTCCTCGCGTAAACTCGTGAGAAATGAAAAGTTTTATTGATAAATTCAACTTTTCATTTCTAGCAAATTGTACTACATATACCATTATTTTATACAGACTAAAACAATGTATGTAAATGTGGGCAATTAATATAAAATTAGGTATTATACAATTCGTTATAGGAACGTTATAGGAAATAATTTGCTGACCTATGATTGGAACTCTTACTATCTAAATTTCTTGAAATGAAAAATGACAGTACTTTTACTTAAAGCGATAGTGAAAATACTGCTGCTCAAAATTATAAGAGCAAATGTTTAGAATAGATTCAAGATTAGAGTGGTTTCTAACTCCATATGAGCGAATGTTTCAATTGATTAGAGTGAATATATTCTCTGGCGATAGAATGCATCAAGTTCTCTCTTCAATTTTGGATGAAAATATTCACTCATGGTTTAGAGTATTCATTTTATAAGAATGAAAGAATAACTCAAATTCCAATTATTCGATAATATATAATATTGTCACTCTATATATTTTTTAAATGAAATTTCACTTCAAGAAATTTAGAGAGTACACATAAACGTTTCTAATTATTTTTTTTTTATTTAAAATCACAATTTAAAGTTGAACGATTTTGTCTAAACTATGATTGCCTTAAAATTCTATTGCTTATATTGGTATTAATAATTCCTTGAAATATTTAATCGATAAATTTATGTAAATAAATGAAATCTATTTTATCCGTAAAGAGATGCGAAAATGAACGACAAACTCCCAAAATGTGGATAACGTAGACAAAATGTATCGCCAAAATGTGAAATAAGCGCTAATATGATTACATTACTCTTTTCATATTGTTTGTATATTATGCAAGATTTTTGACAATAAGATATAAAATTTTTGTGTACATATAGATTAGATCAAACTGAAAAAAAAATTTTTTACCATTTTGCAAACAACAACATAGAGAAAGAGATTTCTTTGGATTTAATAAATTTTATTGAATTCAAACAAATTTGATCATTAGAATGGTCCAAAGAAATTAATGTTTCAATCAATAAATACGATTGTTTGGCTTCTCAAATCTTATTGTTTGTCCAAACAAGATAACTGTTTTATTTATTTTATTCATTTTACTCTGGAAAAAATATTAGTTCAAATAATCTTAATAATAGAAATTTGACTTTTCATTTTTGCATTAATAACAATTTATGTCTTTTTACCATTTTATCGTTTGTGCTCTTCTTTCCCCGTGATTTTCCATCCAAATACTTCGTCATTCCGTGACTTTATCGCTCCATTATTAATGCGGTGACCCATCCCTATACTGACCACCAGTTTGAGTTGCTTGACTTCAATAATCGTTTAGGAAGTGGAGATGTCAATTATTTCTGACGATATATTTAGAGTATTATGATTATAATACATCTTTATAGTATCTACAAAGCTTTTTAATTAATTACTGGTAATCGTTGATAACGATGCAATAACAGTTGATATGTAACGAATATTAATAAAATGATATATTAGAAAATCAATAATGCTATGCTGGATTTCTAGATCTTTAACTAAATATTTTATTGATTAGTCCAAACAATAAATTAGATTGAAGAACAAAACGTTTAAAACAATAATTTTTTCAATAAAAATTTAATTACAACTAAATGATATATTATTTGACTAAACAATTTTTTTATGTAATAGTATTTTTTCCAATAAATAACAGTTTAATCTAATGAAACAAGATGATGTTTGATATAAAATTATATTGTTTAATATAATATTATGTTGTTTGAGTCAAACAAATCGAAGTTAAATAAATAGCAATTCAGAATTTAACTTTTAACAAGATTTTACGTGGTTGTTTACAAAAAAGGTTTTTAGAAGAATTTTTGTCTAGTTTGACCTAATCTATATATACATAAGAGTTTTACATGTTATCATCGAATATCCTGAAAAATCTTATATAAAATGCGTGTTGCTTTGTTATAATATACTGTACGGAAAACATAATTACGCATATACAGACGTCTTTTTGCAAGCTTTTTGTATGTTTTTATGTTTCTAAATTGTTAACAGTTGTTAAAATGTAGTTCAGAAATTTTCGTGAATAGAGCAAACACACGTTCAATACATACGAACTATAGAATTTTTGTATTAGATAAATATACACGCTAATTGATAGCACAAGATGTAAATTTTAAAACTGTTTATCATTTTTGTCACAAATTGAACAATACTTCAATTCACTTTTTCATGTTTATTACATAAACGCGCTTGTAATTCTGTGCAACCAATGGAACGTAAACTTTGCAGAAAATGGCAAAGTTACCGAATATGGTATCCTCTTAAAATCCTTCATAATTAGGTCTGTTACCTTACAATTGACCTTTTGTGAATTATTTTGTAGAACCTTGAATCGTCGCGTACTTGTGACGGTTAAAGTTCATCATTCACGCACACGAGTAATATGCGCTGTCGAACGGTAGGCTGGAATTTCTCATTGGTTCCTGACCTCGCGGAATCGTCTAATTAACAAACGTTATTATCGTACGGTCGCCGCGTCGATGGAGCGCGATCGTGGGATCGTAGACCGAGTCAACTCGGTTAGTTTTTGCCTAACCACCGCTGCCGGTTACTATATACAACGCAATTGGTAAAAGCTGTTGTATAATCCATGCGCGAAATACAAAAAGAATGCACCTCGCGCTCTCCTTGTAATCTTGAATCGCGCGCGTACGGACTTGCGCGATTAGCGAGAGTTCGCCACGCGAGTAATCATCGACTCGACGCAGCCGATGCTCAGTTACATCGATCGATCGTTGAATTGCTCTAGCGGGATTCATCCGCCGGCGTCGTCTTGCTGAAAAAATCTTGACAATCTCCACGTCTACACGTGTCGTGCGCGCGCGGCCGCGCGCACCGACTTACCTAGCTATTACGTGAGACGCCGTTGCGACACCCGGCAAATTTTCTGACAGAGATCGAAACGAGTTCTGCTTTCTCCCGAATTTTTCAGGCGTGTCTCGCGCGGATGTGCCGCGTTTTTCCTACGCGGCCCGTCTCTATCCGCCCCTGCCATCGTCGCCGATGCCATGTCCTTCCCGAGTCGTCCTTCCCGAATCGACTTCATTAATGCACGAAAGTCGCGTATTCGCCACAGTGCGAACTCATCAAGGCCGCAACATCCGTTTTCGTTTCGCATCCGCACGGTCCCTTGCGGTCGGGTCGACGCGCCATTTCGCCTCTCTCTCTCTCCCCCCTCTCTCTCTCCCACTCTTTCTCTCTCCTTCCCCTCCTCTCTCTTTCTCTCTCTCTCTCTCTCTCTCTTTATGTACGCGATCGTACATATGACCTCGTTACTCATGTCGATATTCGCAAAATCGTGTCGTGGGCTAATACGGAAGTAGTCTTTATTCGTAAATATATACTCCTTTAGATTAGACACAAATCCGCAGAAGAAGCGGATTTTAAAGTGGGATTCGCGCCGGATAATCGATGCGTGTTTACCGGACCGACCTCGGTAAGCTTTTCGGTAAAAAAAAATGTTTTGCTGCAATACGATTCTGTAACTCGTTAACTGCTGTCGTTAACGAGTTGTAGTTAACATTGCACAGCAAATGCTATAGCATATGCTAATAAAGATACGCAACGACACACAGTGCTAAGGTTATTGTCGTTAATAAGTTGCAAAATCGCACTGCTGATCCGAGTTTTAAATGTCACAGACAAAATTTATCGCTGTTTTTATATCTGCTAGAAAATTATCTTTCCTGGTGTGTAAAATTTACATCAGCAGCAATATCTGTAAACAAAGATGGGTGATGATTATATATTTGTTTGTCTCTCCTCGCTAGTCTTTTTTGTTCATCACAGTCAATTTTCATAAAATGTATGATTGATTTTAGTTTGGACGAGTGCTACTAAAAGACTTTTTTTTGCTGAATTTTGCAAATAGTTTAGATAGAAATTCGGTTTCTATCATCTATATTGATTAAATACAAGACATATGCGATATCGCAGTGTTCGCTAGTCATTTACTCATCTTAGCTCGTATTTCTCGTATGTAAATAATTTTCCCTATGACTGCAAGACCATTTTTTAGTGTTATGTTGCACTCTCTTGAAATTCTACCTGAAAATTGACCATCGACAATTGGCGTTATCGCCGTAACGTGAAAGTGACGATATCGTGCTCGTGAATTGTTTTTTTTCTTCTGAATCAAACTGACCGATGCTTTTGATAAGAAACGATCACTTTGCATATCGAATCAGCGCATAATAAAACGCAAGACGACTTAGTGGATCTTAAAAAGACGTTAATAACAGGCCTCGACTGTTTTCGTTCGCGGCAGTCCCATCGACATCGAGGAAGGACTTTAATATAGCGCTTACATAAGGGGATTCTCTCCCTGCCCTCTACCCTCCCTCTTTCCCGCGTCTTTTCTCTGTCTCTCTCTCTCCCGCCATTAATGCGTTACAGCGACTCTCGGCAACTTACAACTTCATGCAGCTATGCACTTTCCCCGTGCTTGCTGCAGCTATACTGCTGCTGCTGCTGCTGTTGTTGCTGCTGCTGTTATTGCTGCTACTGTTGTCGCCGCTACTGTTACTACTGTCGATGCTGCGGTCGAAATTGTTGCTTAATCCCTCCGACAGCGGTCGAAATTGCGAGAAAAAAAAAACAGAAAAGAGAGGAGAAATCAGTTGCACTCCCCGAACGCTCCTGCATTCTATTCTCGCTATTCGGGAACCTGTAGAAATATGAAAGGCTACACGATAGCGTGGAAGCACGCGGAAACGAAATTTCCGAAGGTCGACCGTGAGAGATACAAGACTCGCTTTCTCGTTTGGATTGGATCAGCGACCTTACCATCCTGAGCGATTCGCTCATCATCCGTATCGCGCGCACAGATTAGCACTCGATGCGATGTCACCGCGGGCGTGTCGGACTTCGAAATCAATACGCGAACATATACTTCATCGAGCGTATGCAACTCTACCGTTTCCGCGGAGCTCCACTCTAGCGGAGCGATGCTTTCGCGGCGAACGTAATCCCCGCTCGCGGCTATTTCGTGTAATGTAACGATTACAGTGTAACGTAACCAGCTTTAAGTAAATAAACGCGCGGTGTTTGTACGTAATACCGCCGGTTATTGGAACGCGGGCATATGTAAATGAGCTTTATAAATTGTCCAATCAGCCGAGCAATGAAAGTCTGATGGAATTGAATATATTCGGTGAAACTATTTGGCTGATATTATTAGATTGCCGCGCGTAACATCAGACCGGATTTTCTTGACGGCGTGTGATTTCGATGGCGTCAACGAATACTCGCATAGAAATTTCTCTAGATTTCCCTAGATGTAGCATAGAAATTTCCCAAAATTTCCTCAGACACAACATAGATTCTGATTAGAGTGCTCAAATTTTCCTCAAAATTGATTATCTCATTATGATAATTGAGGATCCCATTCTTGTCTCAAACATGGGTTCTTTGTCTAGAAGTAAAATATATATAGTACGGGAATTCGCGCTTTTTTCAAAGAGGTATCAAAGAGATATCAAAAAGAATTTTATTTTTTTCACCTACTGCATTTAATAGAATAAAAAGTCAAAAATATAAAATATAAAAAAAAACATTTGGAATGTTCTACTGAATAATGGAATTATTTAGAAAGTCAACAGATAGTCAATTTTTCGGTTCAATTTTTATGTAAAATGAAAATGAAAAATGAATTCTTTTAGAAGAGAATATTGAGAAAATTTTACTTTTCTGCTTTAAAATTGGATGTTTGAAACATTATCCTTATGACTAGAATACATAATTATTTTGGGGAATCTCACTGTATCTCAATTAGTTCCCAAGAAGTTTTCTATATGGATTTAAATATTTTATTGAACAACAGAATTATTTAGAAAGTTGACATAAGTTTTGTCCAATTCTAATATAAAATTTTCTATATGGATTTAAATATTTTATTGAACAACAGAATTATTTAGAAAGTTGACATAAGTTTTGTCCAATTCTAATATAAAATTAAAATCAAAAGGGATATTAGAAAAACTATCGGTTTTCTAATTAGATAGATTAGTTATGTTTGGAACATTACGCTTCTAAGTAGAATATATAATTTTAGGAATCCCGATTAAATCCTAAGAAATGTTTTATGTGAAGTCTATGCGGAATGTAATCTATCCCACGCTTGTTACAGTTCGTTTGTTTTTGCGCGATCACATAATTCGTCGCATAGAAGGAATGCTGCTGTAATGGTTTGCGGGGTTATGCAACATTTTCATTAATTACATATTTGAATTAACAGCAGAACTGTCGGAAACAGTTTTATTGTTAATTCAAATTGTTATTCAAGCTATTTCACTAACTTGGACCATAACTTCGGTCATTTGCGCTAATTATTTCTTGAAAGATTTCATCTAGCGTTTTCTTAATTTTGGGAGAGACATTTTTAAAGAAAATCAATGCGTTTTTTATCCAAAAGTAATTATACTCCATTTCTTCTATGAGCGCATTTAAATCTGAATTAAAATATGAATATTAAAATTGAATGAATTGATGAATTAGAATTTCATAAATGTATGTCACCTCGCGGGAAATAATGTTACGGATATTCTATCGTTTAATAAAAATATAGATTTTTACGAAAATTAGATTATTATTAATTACGTGTTCGATACGTGATATTCTGAACTATATCACGTAATTTTACTTTAACTATACTTTTACTTTAACTATAATTTTACTTCAACTATATCACGTAAAGATTACTTAATCAGCCATATTTCCAAGACATAAGATAATGAGCGGAAGAATCAATTTTAATAATAATAATAGTCATTTATGGAAGTACTTTTTAGTTACATGATATCAAAGTAGTGCGAGGAAAAATAAAAGCATAAGTATGATTATATAAAATACTTATTATATAAAGTATAAATAATAAAATAAAATGTATAAATAAGAATAAAGTGAATAGATGGAAATAAGTGAATAGATGAATAAGCAAGCAGACAAAAAATAGATGAAAAAAGTTACAAAAATGGAAATACATAAAAAAGTGAGAAAAGTAGAAATACATAAATAAATAAACAGATAAATAAAATGTGAATGAATAAAGAAATAAGTAAATAATTAAATGGGTAAATAGATAAGTATAATACATATGAATACAATAACAGATACATAGAAAAAATTATCAAAAATAAAAAATTACTCATTCACTCGCTCATGCAATGATGAAAATTGAAATAAATGAGTACTAAAAAGACGAAGGCTTTCCAGCGAAGAGGTCCAGCTTGGAGAAATACTCATTGGCAAGAATACATAATCTGTTAGCACAACTGAAATTTGCATATGAAATTCTACGTTTCTTAATATAAAAAACTGAAAAGTGCTTAAAAAATCTTGAAAAAATATTAAATTCAAAACGTTCGAGAATGTCGCATCAATCTGCTAAACGATTTAGAGTCTCGAATACAAAAGGAACATCCGACGAAATACTTCTTCTCTCTAGAGTAAACAAATCGAGGTCACACAATGTAGGTTGACAATTGCGGCATGTGTAAGAGATCGGGTTGCTCATATTGCAGGTCGCTATTTTTGACGAATCTAGTGTCTCATCGAAACGATATATTTTCCGTGAAAAAATATCCCGCTTACACTTAAGTTTCAACTTTCTAAGTGCACACCTACCCTACGCACGCCAGTATTTACGACGAGAAGCTGGAGGTGCTTTTATCGCGAGAGCGAGCGCTGTTTTTTGGAATGTGTTAGCCCACAGAAACAGTCGATCGAAACCGTCGACTTTGCACATTAAGGATTATCATCGATTCTGCGGTTAGGCAAAGCCACGTAACGTGCCTCCTTTCGAATTAGAGATACGTGACTGCAACTTTGTTGTGCAACTTTGGAAAGGCAAAGGCCAGCTTTACCCGGATCATTAGAACATCATTTAATCGTCATCACGCACTGCGGCTCACCCGTAATGGCGATTAGATCGCCTCGATATATAATCGCTCGTTATCCGGGACATTATTACTGTTATGGTCACGATCCGCTTCACGCTGTCGACGAATTATTTCCCGAGCAACTATGTTATCTCAAGCCAGTTCGAATCTGTTGCCGATTCGTGCGGGAGTCACGAATACACATTTCCTCACGAAATCGCCGCGGCGTCTCGACCTTGCCCTGGTCTCATTCGCGTTATCACACGACACCTTTATTATTAATGCGTGTGCCCGTTGTGCGTGTCCTCGCGATGCAACTACCTGCGATGACGCAGCCGCATCATTTCGGATAAAGCTGGAGATATCGGCAATTGCGCGTATCAGAGAGATGTTTTTCTCCCGAATTTCCGGATTCTGATAATAACGACGAGGAATGTCGTTCACGATTGTGACTTTTAAAAAATTCGACACGGCTCTAAAAATTAAAAAATTTGCATGAACATTTTATTGCTACTGATACGTCATAATCACGTGTTGTTGACAAGCGAGATGTTTTTGGAATGTTAATTAATGAGAGATAGGAGTATTTGAATAAATACAAAATTAGTTTGACTAATTATTGACACATATTATATGTAACATTTGTGGACAGAAAGGTTGTTCGTAATGAATTTCGGAATGCATCTACCTTGCCCAAAATGAGAGAAGAAAAATCCTTTTATTAGAAGATAATAAAAGCACAAATTAAATTAATCAAGACTAATAATAAATACAAACTAATAGCTTGAGGGGATGCTGAAGCTGAAAACTTTACCGACAGAATATTGACATTTTCCTATAAAATTTATGTCGTATTAGTTATACAGAATTATAAATGCTTTTACGCGATGAAAGTATATGCAAAAATAAATAGGAGCAATATATGATGAAAACGAAAAAAAAATTTAATATAAAATCTCAAGCTGTCAGTTAGCGTAATATTTGTCTAATTCAAAAGATTCGCAGCTTGTATATAGCGAAAATGTGGATGCTCTAAACAGAAAAATTTTTTAAAATATTTCTGCACCTTCGCAACTAAATTCAGAAACCTAAAAATATCGGAAAAGTTTGTAAAAAGATTTCTATAAATACGTGATTAGGTTATCCACTGAATGTAGTGAAACAAAATAACACACATTACATAAAATCTATATATATATATATATATAAGAAATATGAAACAGATAGCATGGTTGTATTAATAACGATTGTTTCTACGTTATTGGCATTTTTCGCATTCGTCATAAGTCTTTCCTTATTCTGTCGACGATGAGAAATTACTTGTTTTCTTCTCATTCGAGCTATAATTTATTCTTTATTTTTTGAATCTGATGATACTCTTGTCTCATCATAATTAAAGATTTTATCAGAAGTTATTTGACATTTATCATAAGCTTCTCCAAGTGGCTTAAAACTAATTCTTAATTATTAGTTTATTAAAGTCAGAAGCTGTATGTGTGTGTGTGTGTGTGTGTGTTGTTTCCAGTTTTTGTATTAAAAAATCTTTATGTTACTTCAAAAATATTTCTAGCCAGTCTCTTCTAATCACAACAGAATCCTTATTAAAATTACTTTTCTTCTTAGATTAGAAAAAAAAGTTTTTGTTTCTAACAGTCATCTAATATGCTAATTGTCTTAGTT